AGTGGATTTTGGGGGAGGGGGGTGTATGTTGGAGTCCACAGAAGCCGGGGGTGGGTGTGATGACTGGGAGCTGGGAGGTGTGAAGTCCTGAGATGAGGGTTAGGTCATTCACCCACCCCAAGTCTCCTGCAGCCTGGGGGGTTGGTTTTTGTGAGGAGAGCCTTAATTTCAGGATTTATCCATGGCTTGTTGTTAGAAAAACAACGTACCTTTTTGATGGGTACGGTGTTGTCCACACAGAAGTTCATGTAATCCGTAATGCAGTCTGTGATGCTGTTGAGGTCATCCTCCAGGGGGCTGCAGAGGTTGTCCCACACAGTAGAACGGAGACAGTCCCTCAGGGCCTCTTCAGTCTCTGCCGACCATTTCCTTACTGTGCGTTTCACAACTGGTTCTCTGTGTACCAGAAGTTTATACACAGGGATGAACCAGGTTGTGATCTGAGGCCCCCAGGGGAGGGAGAGGTGATGAGCTGTATGCCTCCTTGGTGTTGGCATACAATAAGTCCAATGTTTTATTGTCTCTGGTGTAGCAGGTGACATACTGGGTGAAGGTGGGGAGAGTGGAGGACAGGGAGATGTGATTAAAGTCCCCAGAGATCAGGAAAAGGGCCTGAGGGTGCTGCGTTTGGAGTCTGCTGGTCACAGTGTGCAGGACCTCACAGGCTGCTCTTGAATACTGTTAGCTGTTCAATGGGCAGAAGACATGAGCTCGTTAAAAACAGTCATTTGTTCAGGCTCGTCATTGGTCAGTTTACAGAGTAGCCGCTCAGAAAGCAGATGTCCTAGCAGAGGTTCAGCAACACTTCACAGAATACACATGACGAGACTTACAGGTGTGTTTTTACGGATTCCAGCTCACTGTGGAGTCAGAGCAAATGAAATGCAAAGGAAGCCACAAAACACGAGGTAGTCGACCTGGGTGTTAGCTTCTGTCAGACAGAGATACAGAGTATGGTAAGAAATGAAGTAAAGATGGCAAAAACAGTGGGAGGAGGAAAAGAGGGGACGTGATTGGATGAAATCCAAAGGAGGGAAGGAGAAATGAGGAGCTCAGAAAGGAGTAGGAGAGAGGAGGTGGCCATATCGAGAATAAACATAATACAGGGAAATGTGACGACTGTGGAGAAGAGGAACATGTTATATTCGGGTGTCAGAAATATCAGGTGGAGAGAAGACAACTGACCCAAAACGTCAGCGAAAAGGGGTTTGGGTTTTTTTGAGCAACGCTGCAGTCCCCACTCCACACCAGTTAGAGGCGGTAATGCACCATTCAGTTGATTGCCAACCGACAATAAAGCTTAGAGGAAGAAGCAGCAGCGAACAGGTAAGATGAACGCGCCTCCCGCTTTCGAGTCGTTCCTGCTGTTCGAAGGGGAGAAAAAGATCAGCATCAGCAAGGACACCAAAGTCCCGAACGCCTGCCTGTTCACGCTGAACAAGGAGGACCACACGCTGGGCAACATCATCCGAGCGTAAGGCCCCGAGACACGGCCGCAAAGGCATCACACCGCTACATCCAGGCTAACAACAGGCTAACAACACCTAACCACAGGCTAACAACAGCCCCCTAAAGTCATCCGAGCGTAAGGCCCCGAGACACGGCCGCAAAGGCATCACACCGCCACATTCAGGCTAATAACAGGCTAACAACAGGCTAACTAACAACAGGCTAACAACACCTAACTAACAACAGGCTAACAACAGCCCGCTAAAGTCATCCGAGCGTAAGGGTCGCAGACCCGGCTTCACAGCCGGCTAAGTTGAGGCTAACAGCCACACAGACGCTGAGCAGCGGCTCAGAGACAGATGCTAGCACGCAGCCTGCAGGTGTTTCAGTCTTACAGGTAGCGTAGGAGGTGTTTTTCAGAAAACCAGAACATAGTCTTGGAATATTTAATCTCTGCTTGCTTTTTGTTTTTAATAAACCATGACATGCTGCTGATGGGAAACAGGTCTTAGTGTAAGCCACCACAGGCGGCTGTCCCAGTGCCTGATCATAAAGTCAGCAAAGTTAATGAACTGATCCTCAAATATTCTTACTGTGAGCTGCACACACACCATTCACACTAAACTGCTCATCCTTACAGTCTGTCCACCAATCAAATGACTTTCTGTGTGTGTGTGTGTGTGTGTGTGTGTGTGTGTGTGTGTGGTCAGTCAGCTGCTGAAGGACCCTCAGGTTCTGTTTGCTGGTTATAAAGTTCCTCATCCTCTGGAGCACAAGATCGTCATCAGAGTGCAGAC